CTGGTATGAAAGTGGACGTGTTGCATGGGATTACTGATTGCCCACATATGAGAATTCTGATAATTAAAAATTCTCTCAAATGGATTAGGCATGTGCAGTAAAATCCGGTTACTTTTCAGTCTGCTGAAGAAGCCAGTGCGTAAAATTGATACCGGGAGTAGGTAGGTAGGTAAGGCGCGATACACCCTCCTGGCAAGCCCAAGCTCTCCTTATCAGCTTTTCTAGACCGCCACGAAGGTAAAGCATATAGGACAACGCTACATTAAATAAAAGAAGTCTCCAAGAGCAGCCATATTGGATGTTCTTTACTATTATTCCATTCCAATTGCGACCAGTTTTTAGTGATTCCTCCCATGATCTCTTTTACTATATTTTTTTGCTTCATTTCCATTATAAACCAGGTCTTTAAAGTCCTTCTTGCTACGCCTAAGGTCTTTTCTTAATTCACACTCTTCCACATAATGCCTGTTATTTTCCAGCTTTCCACATAGTAAACAGTTTGCGTTTTCTTGAATTTTAAATCTATTTAGGTATAACGAGGGATCTGCCAAACATCTTTATCGTTTATGGTTTTCATTTTTTCCGAGATCTAAATGTTTTCCAAGTAGTCCTGTCTATGGTCTCCATTTTTTATTCAATTTCTTATATATATTTAGATCCATTTTACTTCTTGCTTTCCGTTTAGATCCCCGATAATCTATTCTTTCTATATTTATCTTAGTAGCAGCCTCTTCTGCAAGGGCGTACGCTCGCTCGCTCCCCTCATGTCCAACGAGCGCTTTCACACAAGAAATTTTTATTTGATGTATTGTGGAAAGATCCCTATGGAATTCTTTCACTTTTTGAATATCGAAACTCGGCTGGTCCGGGCTGGAGAAGTTTTCTAATGATTATAGGGAATCGGAATAAATTTGAATTGTGTGCTGGAGCAGGTAACCGGGAGTAGGTATCAGGTTGAGCACATGTCAAGGCTTATCATGCACTTTTGTTCATGGTAAGAATGTGATCACTTGTCTCGTAGTACGCGCAGTACCGTTGACTGGGGGTACTACGAGATTACTTATACGGCATGGGAAATTTCGAGAGTTCTATATTACCGATGACCTGTAATCTTACACAGAATTTCTGTGTATCATATGGTGCCCTCACTCTGCTTTTACAGTCGCGATGCTGAAAGGATTTACGATTTGGCAAGTGTTTTGCAGCAAAGCGTTTTGGTAGCCTTTGAGCTTCTTCACATTCCCATTAGAAGTTCCATGAAGAAAAGTGTTTGTTACTTGTGTTTGATCACTCTTCAAAAGTTTGTCCAAGAGTTTTGAATCTCCATTTAGATCGCTTTCGTAGCTTATCATTCTTCTTATATCTACCACTTTCTAGAACATAATTGTGGGCTCTTAGTTAATAAAAGAAATTTCAGACCTGTATTCTAGGAAATTAATCAGTTTTACGTTTTATTAATGCCAGTCGCTAAATTCTTTACGAACGGAACAAAAGTAAAATAAATATCAAAATATGGAAAAGACTTCTTGTGTTTTAGAAAACACCGTGAACTCATTTGTACTCTTTTATAATTATTTTAAAAACTAAGCTGTGATCCAACTCATCAGCAAGAAGACATGAATTCTAACAAGTATTGCAATACATGAAAAGCAGTAAAGTAAAAATCTAAGATACTAAGACATTGATCTGAATGTAGAAATTAAAAATTCATTTAAATTTAGCAGCACTTTATGCTAATTTATCACTTTTAGTACAAATCGTACTTACTTCTTACCTCGTTGACTGCTTCTTTCCTCTTTTACAATTATTTAGTAAATTTGTAAGGTTTACCCTAAATTTATAACAGTTGTTTTTAAGTTAAAGCTCCTTTCCTATCTCTCCTAATTTCAGCTTACAATTCGTTACCAGAATGTGTTTTTAGAATCTGGTTTAATGCAAATGAGAAGGAGTGGTCCTTCTCATTTGCCTTTCGTTCCACTGACTTAACTGAGAAAGAGAATCATAATTTCTGAATAGCGCGCGTTGGTCTACGCCTCTCTAAGCTGTTACTACGCCTGGCAATATTACGTGCCTTTGCTAGCTTCACTGTATAGTTCGATATTTAGAGAACAACCAGGCTTGACTTGTGTTAGCTTCGGCTATATCTCTTTAGTTAGTCATTAGTTAAGTTCTTATTTCTTACACTTTTGAGTGTAAATGAAGCATATTGTAAGCATAAAACTGCATTTTCTAAAGTGAGTGACCAATTGAAATATGACAGGTGTATAAATGATATGTATTTGTATAACTTAATATCATCCTTTATTGATTGATATATTAATCAATTCCTGAAAAACAGCACAGCTGTTCTACTTTTGTTATCGTCATGGCTTCAAGGAAAAGAATCCAGAGTATAAAGCTTTCCGTAATAAAGAAATTCTATTTTTTATTATCTGATACTGTCTCTTGTAACAGAAAGCCGGTTTGTGTTCGCATTATGATATCTTATCTTAGAATTTTAATTAAATCTTAGCTTTCACCGCATCAATTTTTTCCGAAATACTATGCGTAAAACATTTCTTATTCAAAGTATTGTTAAAAAATACTGAAATAATCTTAGGAAGATATACGAATTATAAAAGTGTTTAAATGATTTAAGATTGATAAATTCGGCTATCCGAATTATCAATAAAGAGAAAAATAAGTATTTCTTATATCCACACAATACCGAAATGTCAGTTTTGATGAACATTTGGACTAAAATTCATTACAGTGATGCAAAAATTTATTTATTTATGCCGGTTATTAATTCTGACCATTTTTCATTTGCATATACTTCCTGACAAATGGTATTGCGGGGTAACTGAGAGCTTTATGATTAAATTTACTAAAACATGGTATTCAAATATGCGCTAATTCATTAAAAACAGCCATTTCTTTTCCAATATTCTCATAAATTGGTGTTTGCTTACGGAGGTTTTTGCATTTTTTCTGGCAAGGATTGTAAACGATTGAGATATCTTAAAAAGTCATGCTCAGAATGTTTTTTTTTTTTTTTTTTTTTTTTTTTTTTTTGTTGGTTGGTGAAAGGCAGGCAGTTTTCGTATACGTTTTCGCAGTTTACTAAAAACATCGATCATCCTTCTTTGCAATAGGCGGAGGAAATAAATGTTATTTCAGCGAAACAAAAATCTAAATATTATAAATGAAAGAATCATAGTCCAGAGCAGCCTTGTGCAAAAAATGGTCAAAAAGCCGGATGTGGCGCTTTAGGTTTTTTAAAGGCCACCGAAACTATCATTATAACTCTCTTTAGGGGGGGGGAGAGTCATCTATGATCCTTAAATTTCTTCATCAGTTTGCTCCATTGGATTCCGTTTTCTTAGAAGAGAAATTTCGAATATTAGATTTCTTCAATAGTTGGTATTCTTAATATATATTATTAATACCAATTAACTGAACTAAGTTCTTAAAACTAAAGGGAGAATCTGGCTTTGTTCTAGTCTAATTTTATTGGAAATATCGATAGATTTCGGAATAATCTAAAGTAATTTTATGTTACTTCAGAAAAACTAATTTCACACACGTTCAGTGATGCAATCATTTGGCACTGGAAATCAAATATGAAACATTGTTTTTCTTAGATTTCTATACAGATATGCAGGATGTCTGTGATGTTCAAAATTCTAACTAACATTATACCTCTCTTTCAAACAAACTAGAAAAAGGACCACACTTCTTTCCAATTTACTCTATCGCAATGCATTTCTTTTTTTTCCTTAAAAAATATTTTCAGATTCTGAAAATTAATTTTCTGCATAAAAGTGCATTACAGTTACATTCTTTGATGTAAGATTTATGTAGAACTGCTGCAGAAGCTACCTCACATGTTACACTTGTTATTTTCCACTGCATGTTTTGCGAGAAAGAATAACAAAAATTAATATGAGCATTCCGACCCTTGAAACGGAGATTGATAGCGCTGTTTTATCATATTTATGTAAAATACTTAATTATGTAATTTGAAGCAACAATTATTAAATATTAATTATTTGCAACGCCTATAAGTGTATAATATTTATTTTCAAATCGCAGTTCTCCAGCTTATCCATCCCCGAAGGTAATTGTGACCGTTAAGTTGATTGTAATTCAACATATCTGGTCTAGAGGATTTTGCGAATTTGAATTAAATACAAGAATACATTTAACAACTTTTTGTTGCATATAAGTCATGTTTATGTTGAGCAGAATCCTTTTATATTTTATATGTGTGTGGATTTCTTTGAAAAAAGAACAAGCGACATAGAAAAATAATTGCGAAAAGAAATTCAAAATATTTATATACGTCTTGCTGTTAAAAATATGGGACCCCCAAAAATGTTTTTCTTTTATACAATAACTTCTAAAATGCCTCTGTAGTACTGAAAGGGATTTTTAATAATATAAAGGAAGTTATTAAAAATCCCTTTTTAATAAATTCGATTTTTTATTTTCGTATTCATATATCATTATATGGTCCTTTTTATATAAATTAATTTAACATTTCTTTTCAAACATTTTATCAGCCACAATAGCAACAAAATTCATAACATCTTTAGAAAACTCTTAAAAAATTCTTTGAAGGTATTCACCTTACGATAAGCCGTCACTTGAAAATGATAAATCCCCCCTCCCAATTTTGAATATTTTCTTCAGTTATGAATTTAACAATTTCTATAGATATACATACATATTGCATTAATTTTATGAAAATTAAAATTGAATTAAAATTCTTTAATGACATGACTTCCTAAAAAAAAAATCGGAACACGCATATGCTTTATTTATACAGACATATAGGCTTTATTTATGCAGTGCTAAATAAATAAAGCCTTATCTTTTGGGTATCTTTTAGTATGGTATATTTTTAGGTGTAGTATTTAATACAAAGACAGTAAAACATTTAATCCGAAGAAATGTTTTGTTGATCGTATTTCAAATATTTTTTAAATGTTGTATAACAGTAAAATCTTTCTCAACAGTTCCACCAAACTGGGTGAGACCTCCAAGTGATGTATCAGTTGTGGCTGGGAGCAAGATCAACCTGTATTGTGAAGCAAAAGGTTCCCCAAAGCCTACTATCACCTGGAGGAAAAACACAGGTAATCTTTGTTTCATTTGATCCTGAGAGTGTTTATATTTTAACAAAGGTGCATTAGCAAAAAATTTAAGGGAAATTTCAACAAACTTATCTTAGGGTGGAAGTAAATGATATATAAAAGCTTGTAAGGCATTAGCTTTTTGCTAAATGCAACTTGTGACTTATCCTTAATAAAACTATAAACAACTTTTCCCTATGTCTTCAGGACTTGAGAAGGGTGTTAAAGAAACTTTATTTCAAAATTAAGTAATGTGAAGAGATGACACACTTGGTGCTTAAAAATCTGCTTTTATTTACTGCGGGAACTCAAAACAGAAATTCAATGTAAATCTAAATCCAAACAGATAATAGCCGAAAGCTATGCAGTTTAATTTAATCGCGAAGTTGGATCTTAAAGATCACCCGCGTGAAATACTATCGGCAATAATAACTCACCGCCGAAGACAACAACTCTTATCCTAGAATAGCACATATAGTAATAAGGCCTTAACTGGGCATAAATCTGCTCAATTAACTTACTGTCTAAGCAATCTGAAACCTTTATTTAAATACACATGTGCTAATTTGCATTCTAGCGGGAAAACGAGAAAAGAGAAGTAACAGTAAAGATTCAAAACATAAAAGTACTGGCTAAACAAATTAACGTAAACAAACCCTACAAGCTTATATTAAACTCAAAATTGCATTATTAAAAATACAATTTGATAATTTTTTTAATTCCAGTATTTTCATCAATTTCCATTAATTTAACATAGAATGGTGAACCACTGGTTGCGGAAGTAGATATTAATCTTGTAATCGTGCACTAAATAATACAGAATTCTTAACGTTATGAATTGATATGATTAATTTTTCAACACATTTAACATATGTTAATGAATTAATATGATTTCGTACTATGTGAAATAGGCAGATGGAGTTTACATACTTCACTTTCTAGAAAATAGTTCATTTGCACCAAATCCGTAAAATTCATTAAAATAAGTTTTAAGTCACTTGAAAATTATTAGACTTATGTTATACAAAAATATATAAAGACATATATAGAATTTATATGAATATTTATATATACATGTAAAGAAAGAATGAATATAATATATTAAATAAAGGAAAAAGCAGTGAAGGTGCGTGCTATCTTCAAGTATTCCCTTTCCATTATTTTTCTTCTAGACTTTTCCGCCTTGAATTTCGATGTCATTCATTCAGATGGCAGACTGCGTATAGCTGATGACGGTCAAAGTATCAAAATTCCAGAGGCAAAAAAAGAGGATGAAGGATTTTATGAATGCCATGTGAGTAATGGGATCGGAGATCAGTTACGAAAATCCATAAGGGTAGAAGTCCAAGGTAACAATCATCTCTATTTACTTATTATACGTCTGTTGACGCTCTTCTTGGCACGATTCTTTTCTATTCGAGAGCATTTAGAAGAACCACGCTATCTCGAGCCTAACTTCTGTGCAGTCTAAAAGAAACTGGAAGAAAGTTAAAATTCTCGGACGGAACAGAATCGTGCCAAGAAGAGCACCAAGAAACAATGTCTTTGTTAAATTTCTTGCAATAATAAAAAAAGAGAATATTTTTAATAAATTTTTGCTGCGGTTTTTATTTCCTTTCTAAGTTCCTCCAAAAGTGGCACCAGGTCCGAGTTCTGTCGTCGTCGAGAAGAATAAAGATGTAGACATCCAATGCAATATGACTGGCGATTCTCCTTTGAACATCATGTGGGAAAAGAATGGACGTCCTCTGGAAGAACGAAAGCCTCGGTAAGAGCTAAATTCTTAAAATAGGAATATATTTCAACATTCATTGCTTTCGGTGACGCACGTGAATGTATATTCTAATACTTACTAAGAATCATAATGGGAATTTTAAAGCAAACAGTGAAAGTGAAGAAATTCTTCTGTTTTCAGGAGAAGTTATCCTCACAGTGCTGAACTTAAAGACATTTTCAGTTGATGAATTATGTATATGGCTAGTAAATAACCAACTCTAAAAATATTAGTTAGAATTCCTTTTTATATGCCTATATTTAAACTTCGATTCCATTTATTTTATAAATTTAGTTATAGTTTGGATCAGCATTTCTAAAACTCTGGACTGTAAAGCGAAATATTGGGGTTCCTTCTGTGCTCGATTGTATAAGTTGTTAACAACTTATACAGCAGAGAACAGAAGTGTATTACGGCAGATGGGGATTACTTCGAAACATATTAAAAGGTTACGTTTTTTACATTATCTATTCTGGTCTTATTAGAGAAGCGCTGGAAATTAATACCCACACCTTGTAAATTGCCCGAAAAAAAAGTTTGAAATATTTTACTTCTTTCCTCTGTCACTCATCTATGTTTTTTTCCCCCTTGTTTTTTTTTTTTTTTTTTTTTTTTTTTTTTTTTTTTATGACAGCTATTTAAATTTCAACTAAGCATTTTTTCTTTTATTAAAACTACCTTTTAATCAAACTTTTGCGTTACTTATTCTGTTTCAAAGCATTTTTATACAATTTCATAACCCAATTTTAAATAATATGTGAACTTTACCAGGATTTTAATAGTATTTATTGATAATCATTTTAATATAAGTCGCTTATTGCTTAATTTTTTTTAAATTAAGATAAGCTGCGCAGTTTCCGGTAAAAATTTTACGTATCATTATGAAATATTTTTATTATATAAACTTCTGGCTACTATCACATAAACTACTACTACTACATTTATGTATTATTATAAAAGATTTTTATCACATTAACTTCTACTACTACTACTGTAGCGTCATTGTACTATCTATCCGGAAATAATCATTAAAATGAGCTGACGCATTACTTTGTTTCAGCGCAAAAAGAATTTCCTGCGGAATCAGTATTAATAGGAAGAACGTTATCTAATACACTAATTATGGTTTCCTTCTTTTTTTCTAATTAATTAGTCTACTGTGGGCTTTATTATTTTGAACAAACAGTATGCGAATTTCAAAATTTTATATTTTTACAAGTATGCAATCAATGAGTTCTAGTATATATATATTTCTTTTCAGAATACAAATTCAAGAATTTCCGACGGAGAGGGGCGTGACCACTTCCTTGCTCTTGACTCACGTGGATAGAGGTACCAGTGGACTCTACGTCTGCAAGGCTCGAAACAGCTATGGAGAGAGCTATCGCATTATCAATGTCGATGTCGTCGGTGGGTTTGCACTGTAATAGAAATTCTACTCTTTCAAAAGATTCCTAATTTTATCCCCTTTTATCGCCTCCATCTTATTAAAGGAACTTAAAGGCCGAACTAAAAGGGTGACGTAAAAAAGGAGTTCAGCCTTGAATAAATGCAGCCTTTGTATCAGTATTACCGAAGTATTTTACATGAGATGGTCAATAAGGATAAACGTGCTTAACTAAAGAAATAAAGAAAAGATGTCTGAAATGTCTAATTATAATTTTTCTTTTGTGATCAGCATACAGCAAATTGACCCTCGTTTTACAAAAATGTAGTTATGAATTAAAAATTTCATGTCATATTGTAGTAAATGAGATTCTTTTCTACATAACGTCGCCTAGACTACACTTATGTATTATTGAGAAAATTTGTTTTAATTTGTTGCATCAAAGAATTTTTTTCTTATTTGATTCTACATTATACAATCTGTAAAATACGTACATATTTAAATATGCAGAATGAAATAATTTTTAATTAAACAAAATTCCGCTTCTTTTTATAGTACCCGTAAAAAGCTAAAACTCCGTAATGATATTTAATGAATTTATGGAATTCCACGAAAGAATGTCAAGTTTCCTCGAAACCTGCAGCAACGCTAACCGTAATAGCCTCGAGTTCAACATGAGTTTTTTAAGAATAAACTATCAAAACCAAAATCAAACAGACAAACAAATCAGATCAAACTAATGCCTAGAATTTACAAGCTATAAAAATTAAAGCTTTTCTGTGAAGAAATTCAATTTTAATCTACTCTTGTTAAATGTACTGCGTATAAATTCTTTTAGCGCTTCCTAACAGATAATCTATCGATATTATTTAACTTTAATTTATAAGTAATTTCAAAACTTTCTTATTATGTTAATATAGTCAAAGGGGAATGCTATTACAGTATCTATAGCTAAGTTTTATAAGCAGCTACTTATTGCATTAAATATGTATATTGATATATATGATATCACCACTCCACCAAAATCACAAATCTGCAAAACCTTTGAGGAAAACGCCTTTAAATGTGCGTTAAACATCAAGTCATTACTTCTTAGTCATACTGCAGTTAAGTTTATTTCGTAAAATAACAAGCTCGATTCTCAATATATAGGTATGTGTTTCGCTGATGTAAAAATAACTAACATATTCATACAACATTTTCTAAATAAATAGGCATTCTTAAAATGGAGCATTAAACGCGTTCATAATGAGTAGGGTTTTAAAGATTAATATAATATATATTATATTAAACTCTAAAATATGCATTTATACACATAAATATATATTTTATATATATATATATTTTGTTTTTGCTTTTAGAGATTCCTGGTCAGCCTAAAGATCTAACAGTGACTCAAATATGGACTCGTAGCGTTCAGCTAACTTGGACCTCTCCATACCATGGCAATAGGCCCATAACAGCATATATTGTGCATTTTTGGAAAACAGAAGGTAAATAGTCGTTTTTGATTTCTAAGTGCTTAAATTATTGAGAAATATATATAAAATATACCTTTCTAAAAATAATATCAATAGGCTATTGCCATTCATAAAATCTGTTTACCTGATGTCGATTACGGCTTAGAAACTTATTAATATGTATAATAAAAATGTATGGTAATGTCTCGTTAACCTCTGAATTATCCGTCGAGTTATTTGCTAACTGTTATTAAAAATAGTTAATATTAAAATCGTAAATTTCCACTCTCCTCACATTTCTCTGGACTGCTAACATGATATTTCCACTCGGCTTCTATTGGTACTTACAATTCTGAGATTATATAAAAAGTAAGCTAATAATTACGAGATATAAGTTGCATATCTTATGTCAGTTTAGTTATGGATGTTTAATTAATGTAATGTCAAGAATAAAGAAATATTCAGCCGGCCATTACTGCCTTACTTTGTATAACCAACCATCTAGTTTTCATCATCATCATTTCTGACAGGCTGAAAGTTTTCAACACTTATGAATCGCATAGCATTTAATCACATGTGCATATGTTTCGTCACCACGCATTTAATAAAGTTTCCATTGAAAACGTTACTACCAACTCCATCACTGCGCAATCTCTACTAATTGATCATATTATTGATAATCTCTACTAATAAATCATATTAAACTTTTAAACTTTAAAAGAGCTCTTTTGGGCGACCGCTAAAATCGGAACGCTTTCAGATTATTCTTTTAATTACTTAATTCATCCCCGTTCAAGACTTCTAAATATTTTCAAAGAGAAATATTTAAGTATTTCACCATGTTTACAAATAGCAATGTATCAAATATTTCCTTTTTCAAAAACATTGAAATACGTAAGCATGGAATGGAACAAATCGTTTTCCATTTTTTTTTAAATTTTTTCGCTGCCGTTACGCCTATTTTTGTTGCATGAAGTTAACTATAACTTTTCATAAGATTAATCCGTTTTGTCACTTCGCTTTCATATTAAGCAGTTTCTAAATAGAAATTTTACTATAAGTAAATTAGTAAAAGTGGGTCAATTTCTTCAAAATTATTTTAGCTTCACTTAAGTCCTGGAAATTATTTTCACCTTTCCTTTTGTAAAAAAAAAAAAAAAAAAAAAAAAAAATTAAAATTTGTTTGAGGTATATTTTGCTAGAAGATTATAGGACTAGATTAACTCATTTCACTGAAAATATCACTGAAAAACTACAAAACAAAATGTGTTTGTAGGACTGAATATCTTATAATATCAGAAAGGCATCTCATAATAACGGTGCAGAAATTGAGAATTAACATTCTCAAAAATAAATAAACTAAACCCACACTGTATTCCTTCACTTTATGTACATTGATTTTGTATACTGCAAAATGCAAATGTAGCAGATTTTAAAATGAAAGCAATTTTTGGAATGAACTGAGCAGAAGCTATAGTTACTAGAGTTCTCCTGCTCATACAGAGTGCTTCAGAGTTTACTGAATAGTTTCCGTGACAAACTTAACTATACAAATACTTTATAGGTAAATCTGAGCCGCCACCAGACAAACCCGAAGTGCTTCGAATTCCATCCCTTCAGACTGTGGTTGTCGTTCCAAAGCTTCTTCCCAACAGCTTTTACAGCTTGTTGGTGATGGCTGAGAACGAAGTTGGTATTGGGCCAGCTTCGCATCCTGTTACTGCCACGACAAGAGAAGAAGGTAAGTTAGGTACTTGTTGAAATCAAAAGCGAATTTTATCAATGGATATTCTTGAGAATCTCCCATTTTTATTTGCGAATTCATCTTTTGTTATCTGAATTCGATACATGTCGTTGAATATTTAGTATCTATTTTTTTATTTTGGAAAGATAACTGACCTCTGAATTTTTTGTAGCTTAACCTCTGAATTACTTCCTATTTTCCATTTGTTTTGGGTTCAGTGTTCAAATACATGATAACAATGCTTAATTTATCTTGTAGAACCTGACTGGGCCCCTTCTGAAGTGACTGTGATTGATAAACACGCAACGTCAGCGAAGTTGAAATGGAAAGTGAGTTCATTTCTTTCTCGCATTATCGATTTGCACGAATACCAAAACTGTCCTCCAAATACACACGATTTTTAGTTTTGGAGCACACATACAAAAAAGGAGCAGATTAAAATTAACTTTTTTTTACTCTAAACCAAGCTTTCACAAACTTTTTTAATCATCCAGAACTCTTGAAATCAAACTAATGGCTCGCAAAACCTACATGAACATTATACACAATTAACCCATATGTTTACATAGTTATCATATTTACTGCCGTTTTGTGAGGATTCCTTAATGATTTCTCACACAGAATCAGTTTTCTGGGAAACCACAGCTGTTGTAACTTGATGGAAAATCATAATTAATGAAAAAACGACTTTGATACTTGTTGGCTGTTGTAACTCGATGGCAAATCATAATTAATGAAAAAACGACTTTGATACTTGTTGGCTGTTGTAACTCGATGGCAAATCATAATTAATGAAAAAACGACTTTGATACTTGTTGGCTGTTGTAACTCGATGGCAAATCATAATTAATGAAAAAACGACTTTGATACTTATTGGCTGTTGTAACTCGATGGCAAATCATAATTAATGAAAAAACGACTTTGATACTTGTTGGCTGTTGTAACTCGATGGCAAATCATAATTAATGAAAAAACGACTTTGATACTTGTTGGCTGTTGTAACTCGATGGCAAATCATAATTAATGAAAAAACGACTTTGATACTTGTTGGCTGTTGTAACTCGATGGCAAATCATAATTAATGAAAAAACGACTTTGATACTTGTTGGCTGTTGTAACTCGATGGCAAATCATAATTAATGAAAAAACGACTTTGATACTTGTTGGCTGTTGTAACTCGATGGCAAATCATAATTAATGAAAAAATATTGCCTTCTATAACTGTTACGGTGAAAATTTGCTATTGAAAATATTTGTTATTGAATGATAAATTATTTAACATTTAAATAAGAAACCTAATAAAACTTTTAAAAATTGTCTTTTATAAGATACTTATTTTATACATATTAATTTATTTTGTATACACTGTCAATTTATTTTAAGATTTCTTTTCCTTTTGATGTATGCATACAATATAAACATTTTTTGAAGTTTTTAATTATTCCAGTACTTTAAGAAAACAATCATAATTGGCAAACATATAAATTGCAAATGTCAAACAAATTTGTATTAATGCTCATATTAAGATACTATTCAAAACTTCCGATAAGTTGAAATAAATGTTTCCCGCAAAAGTAATTTATTAAAAATTGCTATTAACTTACCCTAAAAATCAGGTTTCTTTGATTCGAAGTATTCGATAAGTCGAACTGTTTTTGATATACTGAAATATTTTTTGGCAAAATGGTTTTAAAGCAATTAGTATCTTGCTTTGGTAAATACTAATGGATTTTTTCTATATCTGCATGGAATCTTAAGTGTTTTTAGGATAATTTGCCGGAATTCTTCTTAACTCAGATTTCCAATAACTCAAATTTTACTTAGAGTGCTTAAATGGGAATTAAATTATTTTCTCATATTTTTTTATCATTTTTAACACCTCAAACAATTACATTTTTACTTTAAGTATATTTAGAAATATAATTCAGAGAAAATTGTAATCAAATTTAGAAATGTTAGTAGTATTTTATTTAGAATAAATAAAAATTATGTTATTTGACATTCCACAATTTTATTCAATGCTTTAAGACAATATATCTTCTTTAAGAAATCATACTTATTAATGATCAATTAATTAAGACTGGGAGAACAATAACACTGCTCCCTGACAATTCCTATTGCCACTGGTAGAACAGGTTGGCTGTATGGAGGTCGCCATATTTAATGTAAACCGGAATTTATTTTACTTAGTTCTCAACGAAAAACGTTTCTCATTTTCTGTAAATAATATTGGTTTTATAGCTTTGACCTAAATAATAAATTCAAATTCAGTCTAACAACCAAATTCAAAGAAAATATTCAATTAACTTTCGTTATTACTTATAAGTGGGATAGAAGCGTGTAATTTTCTATCAAAATCACTTGATACCATGTTATAAGGTATTTCTCCCCCCCCCCTTCTTACCGTGCCTTCGTGGTGAAATGGTTCTGCACGCTGGGCCGGCATTCCAGAGGTCCGTGGTTCCATTCCCGGCGAAGGCGATTGCTAATTTTTCATCTCTTCGGTTTTTCCAATTAACCTAATGTCTCTACAATGTTATTATTTTGCAGGCATTTTTATAAATATACAATTGAAAGATAAGTTTATTGGTTATATATTTCATTATTTCTTATGTATCGGGATATTATTGTCATTCATATACATAATAATTTCTATTATTTGTTAAATGCGCGTATCCATAAAGAGTTCTGCAGGATATGTCATTTAATGTTACCCGTTTTCAAAATAGAGTAACACCTTTATTGTACACAACGATAAATGAAACTATTGAAAGGCAGGTAAATCAGCATCTTGGATTTACAAATTAGGCCTATTAGAGAGTTTTTTTTTCTCAAAGCTACTTTGCTGAGCGTCTGCGAAACGTTCACATTCTCCTAGTGGATTAAATTTTTAAGACTATAAATGTTAGGTAGAGTGAAAACATAAGCTCTCCTTTATCGCCAAAATTAGAAACTTTTGTTTTATAATTACTCCCTAAAATTTTTTTAATAATTTGAAATTTCAGTTGGAAAGCACCTTAAAATGTTATCTTAGTAGATTCGCTCTCGAGCATCATCTCGAATTTCGCTCCTAAATGTATGACATATTATCTGTTAACTTAATTAAAATACAATGATTATTTTAATAACTATAATTTTCGTTGTACGGGGACTGTTTACAAATTTAGATTTTTATATTTTCACTGACGAATTGAAACCATTTCAGAACTTCCGCACTGGAATGCCTACCTTAGTATTATTATATTATTTATGTTCTAGGGTTATTTAGATCTTCAGATTATACTTATGAAATTGTATCAAAGTTCTGTAAAAATAAGATTAGAAGATTCGTCATATTGTAGAGACATTAGGTATTTTTTGGAAGCAGGAAAGATGAAAAATTAGCAAACGCCTTCGCCGGGATTCGAACCACGGACTTCTGGAATACCGGCCCAGCGTGCAGACCCACTACACCACGAAGGCACGCTAAGAGAGCAGGCAAAATACCTTATATAATACAAGGGCGGGCTAATACAAGAGCAAAGTATCAGATTATTCTTCATGCGCTGCATACATTATAATATTATCAGGATGTTTCAGTATAAATATTTTTAAAAAAATTAAATAAAAAAAAGATTCAAACAAAAAAAAAAATATTTATTATTTTCAAAGTGTCGAAAGTGATAATGATTTTTCTCCATCTTTCTCTTGCAGTATCTGATTTACGTATACACTCTTTTGAATTTGTTTTATTATTGTACATTGGATTGATTTTATTTCATTTCCTCTTTCTTTTCAGTGCCCTCACCGAAATGAATGGAGCGTATTTTTAAAAGGTTACTATGTTGGTTACAAAAAGATGAGTTTAAAAACCGTCTATACGTATAGAACACTGAATGCAGAAACTTGCAAAAATCATCAAGAATTCGTGCTTCAAGGCCTTCAGAGAGCTTCCAGTTACTTGGTGATCGTGAAAGCTTACAATCACGTGGGCGTTGGCCCTCCTTCTGAGCAGGTTGTGGTCCATACCGCCGATGGAGGTGAGAAATTTTAGCTCCCAATCAAAAACTTACTTTTTCATTTCTACTTGTACGGAACTTTGAGTTATTGGGTGAGAGAAAAAGTTTACAATCACTTTCAGCTCTGCATTAGGACAGGGTGTAGCTCATAAACATAAGTATATTCTATAAAGTGAAAATCAGATAATAGCACGTTCTATAATTTTTTAATTACTAAAGCTTGATTTATTTCCATTATTTGCAGAGAAAAGAATGCAGTAATTAGGAATAACAGAGTTGTCATTATTTGATCAGAAAACTACAATTCGTTTAAAGTAGGTTTATTTCGCAGCAGGAAACATATGAAATCTAGGATTCGCTAGGATTCGAACTCTGGCCTCGTGATTTCTAGTCAAACGTGGATCAAGTCATACAATGAAGGGAAGCGGTACGGAAAGAGAAAATTCCTTACATAAGTTATGATGCCTAATATCTATCGATGCAATGAATTTATTTGTCTCCAGGACGAATAAACTAAGAAAACAAGATATGCTTAACGCCGATATGGAACGAAAAGAAAGAACATTCTGTCATGTTCATCATAGCGCGTTTTTGTTAAAACTGAAGTAAACAGTTTTAGTTTTCTATAATGTAAGCATAAGTATTGAATATTTTCTCTCTATTCATTTTTATCCCTACCTATTCTGCCCAAATTCACTGGTTATTATTAATTAAGAAAAAATCACAAAAATGGAAGTTACTCAAAAAGTTGCATTTTGAATTTAATCAAACTGACCCACAGCATACAACACATAGTAAGGTCTAAATAACATGAAAAAAATTACCAGATAGTTATCGTGTTATAAAAATTAGCATTTTTAAGTATGAACAAGTCGGATGTGGGAGTTTGGTATACAAAAATTACCTTCAATGCAGAGTATGATCTCCCCTACAAGCAATGCAACACATATGGCGATGTGCGATGCTGTCAATTATGCAGTCTATCCGTTCCGTAGGAAGTGAGAGTCACTGCTCTTGTAAAAGCAGTTGCAAACATGGCAAGGGTCTGAAGAGGAGGACTGAGAGCAGCCCTAAGTCTTTCTAAAGCATCTCAAACTTGATCGATAGAATCCAGGCCTCGTGATCGAGCTGGCCAGCACATGCGCTGAATTTGTTTGCTGTCGGAGGTAATCATTCACGATGCGAGCCCTGTGCGTCTAGCATTGTCGTTCTATAACAGGAAATGATCACCTATTGCCCCAGCATATGGGCGCACATAAGCATCAAGCTGTCATCTCTATAGGCCTGAGCATTCATGGTTCCACGTGGACAGACATGATGTCTAGGGATCTATCCAAACTGATACCACCCCAAACGCAGACATTGTCTCTTCCGTATGCATCAGTTTCACGGATGTTTGATGGATGATAACGGGTTTCAGGCTCTCTCCAAGTCAAATAACGCCTACTAGCGCTTTGGAGGCTAAACCAGGGCTCATCCGTAAAGAGAGCAGCCCTCCATTGATCAACTGTCCAGTGAGCATGTTGACGTGCCCACGTCAAACATTCTCTTCCATGGCGTGACGTGGCAGCACGTAAATGGCTGGTTGCCTCGCGTACAGACCTCCTTCACGAATCCTCCTAGGGATGATTGATGTTGACACCAATCTTCCTGTGGCTGCAGCAAGGGAGGATCTGAGTTGAGTCATTGAGGTTCTGTTCCTACGTGCGTATAACAACAAACAACGTTCCTACGTGCGTATAACAATCGGTCATCAACTCTCGTCGTAGCGGTTGGCCATCCTTGGCTGAACCTCCTGGATGCCGAATCTGTGGTTAGAAAATTTTGCTAAAGACTATAAACCGCAGACGGACTCCCATTTAGCCATCTGGCTACTTCTGTCCGACTTTATCCTGCCTCTAGTCGTCCAATAGCTCTCCATCGTAGTTCTTTTATACTCTCAGATGACGTATCTCGATTGCAGCGCCAATAATGTGCATATTTCAGTTTTACTCAATGATTCTTATTTGACAACGTATTCAAAATTTTTACTGTTGGCTTATCTTTAATTTTGAGGTATCGCTATTTTTGTGATTTTTCCTTAATTTTTTTAAACTAGTGTATATGAGATCGAAAGAATTTGAAAATTTAAATGTTTTTAAAGATTCAGTAATAAAATAAAACACGAAAGCATTTCACAAAGCATTGCTTTTCCAAAACAGTAGAGAATACTAAGCAGTTGAATAATAGAAAAAGAAGTTGTTTTGAGAAATGGATCACTGGCATAAAACGCAGTTGATAGTGTTGATATATGTGTAGATAATGACGGAAAATCGCTGAAAATTTAGTCTTGAAAAATATTCTTCATTTGGCTTCTCATAGTAAAGCAACATCGTGCATGTAGTTGATTTCCTACATTCATGTTGATAATTACTAGTTTTAAAACTGTTTACTGGCTTTCAATAAACTGAACCAATATATCAGTCTCGGAGACTGAAATCTGATCTTACCTTCTTTGAGGAATTTTACTAGTTATTTTCTGTTTGGCGCACGTGTTTCATCAGTTGGTAGGTTTTAGTGCTTTCATTGCACCTGTGGAAGAGAGGCTGATCTGTTTGAAGATTTAGTAGCGTGATATCCCAGCGACGAAAGAGGTAAATTAAAATAATTCTACCGTTCTGTCAAAACAAGCTGAAGTTTCTATGGAAAACTTCAGCTCGAAAACATAATTTTACAAGGTAATTTCTGTTTCCTGTCTGCATGCCTTCGTGGTGTAATAGTGGCACATTCGGCGTGTATTCGATGGGTCTAGGTTCAAGTCTCGGCGAGGGTATTGCTCATTTTTCACGTCTCGAGCTTCAAAATATCCTAATGACCCAGCAATGGCTCCCGAACTAAAAAGTATTGGATGATGATTCTTCATCACCAGGATTTGACGACTGGATCTCCTAATCCCCACTTGCCCTTTAAAAGGGGGAGGATATAAGGTATTTTCTCCTTTCTTTTTGCATGTGTTCGTGGTGTAACGGTAACAAACCCGGCGCGTATTCGAGAGGTCGCGAGGACATTGCTGACTTTTCGCGTCTCCTGCTTCAAAATATCCGAATGACAAGTTCTTAACATTCTTGCATCGCTATAATGTTCATTTATATATTTCACAACTTTTAAAGCCTTCTTATAAGTAGGGCTTTCTTGCAGGCTTTTTTTATATTTTAAGGGCTCAAAGATTTCTGATCAAAAGCTGCGGAAAATAATACTGGAGAATGAGGAATGCAGTAATGGGATGGTCTCTCGAGATGCATTCATACTGATGTCACAGACTTTTGAAGCACTAAATGTTGTAGCAAATTTTTAGAACATACTGATATCATTTAGGAAAACTTAAAAAATTCCTGTTCTTAATGTAGTGACTTTTCGTTACTTTTGAAAATTTTAAACGGTACTGACTTAGAAAATCCTCCATGAAGGCATTCCTCCCCTTAGGCAAATAACCCTAGAGTGCTTTTTTTATAATTAAATACACGAAAAACAGAACTGCAGCTGTTAATTGCTTATATTTTTAATGTTACTACTTCTGTGTGCGGGTACTCAAAGCAATTTTTGTGTAACTAACAGGCAATAGTGTTCAGACTCCCCTTTATTGGGTAAATTTGCAGAGTCATCAAGTTAACATATGCGACAATTTTTAGGGAGGCAAGCATGTCCCGAAGTATACCTATTTAGACGAAGACTACATTAAAGGCTTTTGATACTGATATTGAATAATGATCTGTATTGAGAGTAAGCACTTTTCACATTCTACCCACTCTGCTTCCTACCTGTCTCAAATTTTTGCAAAGGTTAATATTTATTTAATAGAACATATATTTAACATATATATATATATATATAATCCATAATGAACAGCGAGAATTTTGATAGCTTAGACATGTTCAAACTCCAATCCACAATGAATAAGAAATTTGTCAGTCGAAGTAGACTTAATTCAGCTTTTATTTCAGCAAACATGTTGCGGCCACAAACAAGCTGGCGCATATTGTTATACGACCCAACACACAAAATCTGTCCTCGGTTGCAGTTATGGATGTGAATACTTTTTCTCCTGAAGAGATTCAAATGATGTAAAAGTTATTCTTATTTCCCGCTTAATGGCATTATTATTTCAATTATCGCAAAAAAGTGAACGTAAATGGTTTTTCTCCCAGCTCTTCATTTGTTTCCAGCATTACCTACATGCAGTATGATGATGCAAAAACTTAGTGAAAAATGACGCAACAGAACTTTGTCATTGTCAGTGATGCACTTATAAAGAAGCGTGACGTTTTAAGAATTAAAGTATGATGAAGATGCTTGCTTCAGACATTAACTGCCGAGTTATGCGAGGGCTATTTTATGCAAAGAAATGCATATACATTAGTATTTAAAAAGTTAGAAATACACAATTTGATTCTGAAATTTCTAAAATGAGGTGACAAATTAAAAAGTGGAGACATTTTTATGATTATGATACATATGTATTTTTATAAACAGTAGATAAGTAAACATGAAAACTAATAAAATTTTTTAAGCTATTAATTAGCTATATTTCAAAAGTTTGTCATTTGCAATATCTATAGATATTTTTAGGCAAAAGTGCTTTATTTAAAATTACTGTAGCTAGACTTTTACTTCCATCATCCTGAAGAACTGTTTTTTTTTCTTTTGTTAAATTCTTAACGTGATAGTATAATTTATAGTTTATTATTTGTTACATTGTAAAATTTAATATATTAGATTTTAAGAACATTTAACGTAAAAATTGTTTTATATTTTGTAGGTCCTCCAAGAACTCCGCATATGAAGATCCTTCAGAAGGGTGCTGTAATGTGTCATTTGAAAATATGGCCTAGAGAGAATAGTAGGAGCTTGCCTACCCGTAAGCAATAGATGTTATTATTTTATCCTAATCAAATTATTATTATGTTTAATTAAAATTCATTTGTTTATAAAACAGTGAGGCACATTGAAATTAACAGCTTTTGATGTTTATATCTTTCTATAAATCCTTTGAAAGGGTTACAATTTGTTTATCATACATATTGAAAGGGATGCATTCTGTAGGGCGATGAGAATCATGAAACTACGCTTAAAATTACTTTTTTAAATCTCTGACAAGCATTATAGCAGCAACTTTTCATATTATAACAATTATTGTTATTAATGTTACATATCGCAAATATTCAGATATTCCGCTTGAAAATAAAACACTAAAGTATTTTGTATAGATCTTGAAAGCATAATTTCTTCCATTTAGTCCCACCCCACCTCATCTGTCTCTGCATTTAATATAGTCACATGTCACACCACAATGAAATCTGCCTATTCATTATGACCACTGAAACCCTATTCATTTCCATTTCCATGCTTGTAGAATGATTAATGTAAGCTTTTATTCAAATGAATAATTAAAAGGTATACATACATATTAATTTTTGCAGACCTATAAAGTATTATTCGCATTTTCTTTATAGAAATATCTGCGTTAAATAATAGTTTTCCTAATAAATCCTGGAACATTTATAAAATTTTACCTAAATTCTTCTTCTTAATGATAATAAAATGCATTTGTTCAAAATTACGATTTTTTATATCTGAATTATATTAACGCTTTCCCTTTTATGGTAGTTGAGCCTTTCCATTTCTTGTTCCTATGATATTCCCGATTTAAGCAGAAAGTTTTAAAACTTTCATGGCGAGTAACGGGAAAAGTCATCGTGACTTGCACGATAAAATTTTATAATTCCCATTATGCATCATCTATTCGTATAATGTAACTAATAAATGCATAATGATCTTGGCAGTAGCATATAAAATTTAAAAGAGTGCATTGAAAGCTGTCTAAATCTTAGTCTGTTATAAGAAGGTATATATTGCATCATTTTAACAACATTGCTTTAAGCTGAGAAAAAGTTGGATGAGGAGCACATCGATTCAGATAATGGAATTAGAGAATTTACATTAACAGGTTCAGTTGCCAAGATCGCAGTTCCAAGTTTCTTTCTTAAATAAAAGAATCCTCCTACTGATGGTTTTCTCAACTCATTGAACAACTAGCTTGACTTCTTACTGGAACTCGTATTTCTATCCTTTAAAATAAAACCCTTAGAATATTGGGAATCCCCCCCCCAAATGCATCATTCAGTTTTATAGAGAAGGCTTAAGTAAATCAGAGGACAAAAATAACTAGGCCATACAAACCATGAAAGGTCCTAATACAAATCTTCATAACTATTGGGTTGAAACATTAAGTAACGGCCGTTTATGTTTTGTTTAAAATTACGTGGTAATAAAATGTATTGGCATAATGTTTCTGTTATTCGAAAGAGAATCTTTCCCTCTACAAGATGGCGTATTCGAATTTTTTGTCTGAGCTAATTTTGTTATTTTTCAGATCATTAAAATGGAGTGTCAAATCGGAAAAAAATAAGCATTTTCGACACCTTCTTCTCTTTGCGTTTAATCGAGGCGCCAATGCTGCAGAAACTGCCCGAGAGATTTCTGAAGTGTATGAAGAAGGTGCAGTGCCTGAACGAACTGCAAGAAATTGGTTTGCCAAATTCAAAAATGGAAATTTCAACCTCGAAGACGTTGTTCGTTCCGGACGACCAAATGAATTTAATGACGAGCGTTTGAATCAACTTCTGCGCGAAGACGCGCGTCAAACCACTGGAGAATTAACCAAACGAACGGGTTGTAGCCAAATGACTATAGGTAGAGACATCTTGGGTCTATGGGGAAAGTAAAAAAAAAAATCGGATATTATTGACTAATTTATTGTTTTTGTTTTTTTGTTTTGCTAAAATAAAAATTTTTTAATTTAAAAATCGGCCATTACTTATGTTTCAACCCAATATACTAAAAATAAATATGCTTCTCCATGCATTTTATAAGTCTATGCTTTATTTCCTTCGCTGTAATTCTAAAACGCTTGCGAAAATGCTCCTTATTTTTATTGTATGGAACAAATTACATTGCGAAAATGATTCATAAAAATTTATGCCAGATCAATATTTTTACTTGTCCTTTATATCTCTCAAGGATTCGTTCATATACCAAATATTATCTTTGTTTTAACATATTATTCTAATTCTTGTTTACTCTCCATCTTCAGAATTTGCTCTTCATGTCCGGGAGAAAAATGGTGACAAACATAAAATATTTGTCTCGGTACTTCCATCCATGAACTATTCCATAGGCGGCCTCATCCCTGGTCGTCAGTATGAGATTTCTGTCACTGCCATCAACCGATTCGGTGAAAGTGCCGCATCAGGTACAATAGAATTTATCACCGACCAAACAGGTAAGACTTTTGAAATCAAATTTAATGTTAGCAACCTTCTTTTCAAATATTTGCTGAATTTTATTTCAAACAGCATGCAAATTTCTTCTAAAATGGGCTAAAAATTTATACTTCAGTGTGCTTTATATTATTCAAATTAATGAAAAGATATCATACAGAATAAACCGTTTTTCATTTCTTTTTTAATAGCCAGTGCACCTTATAACATTGTCACAAAATAATTTTTAATATGGATCTACTTCAGCGAAGAATGGAATAAAACACTATTAATTGATTTTTATAGCACTGGGGGTTAGGATTTCTAAGGCTATTTCTTTTTCAGATGGTACTTTACGATACTTTTATGTATTTGATAATAATATTTATAGCAGTTATTAAGCTGAAACTTTTGAGTATGCGCTATTTGGAAACACAGTCGAACATCGATATCTCGAACCTCACAGGAAGAAAAAAAATTCTGCGACAAGGAGTTTTTGATTTTTTTTTTTTAAATGGGCAATTCAATTAGATAAGATTTTAATTTCTTACTGATTTTAGACTAACAATGCATACATAGTTAACGATATGGAACATATTAATTATAGTGCGAAATATTATCAGTGTTTAATTTTAAGCCTTTTAAAACTAAACATGAAGTTGTATCAAAATTTATATAAAATTATTTAGTAAATTCCTAATAGAAACATAATTAACTACAAATTCATTAGCAAATATCATTTTAATAAAATCTGAGGCCTTTTTTTTAAGTCTTTTTTTTTTTTTTTTTTTTTTGTCTGGAGTGAAAACTTTTTGTAAAGCTGTAAATGAGATGAATAATTCAGAATCAATTTTAGCAGTTTTTTCTGCTTCTTCCGTCTTCTGTGAAGTGTGGTTCCTTCCAGAATCAGTAGCCAGAGTAGCCGCCATTGTTGGAGATCACCGCTGCCACACGCCTCGGCATTGATTCAAAGAGACTTTGGATGTGTTCTTGGGGTACAGCAGACCAAGCAGCTTCCACGCGTTGCCAAAGTTGATCTGGTGTGGCAGCTTGGGATGTAATCTGGGTCAATCGTCAGCAACCATGGACAACATGTTTTCTATCGGCGAGAGATCCGGAGAGCGAGCCGGCCAGGGAAGCAATTCAATCTGGCGATTGACGAAGAACCCTTGGACAATGCGTGCCACGTGTGGTCGCGCATTATCCTGTTGAAATATGGCTGTGGGCAAGCCCTGAAGGTAAGGAAGGACAACTGGCTCCAATACCTCGGAGATGTAGCGCTGGCTGTTTAAAGTACCGGCAATGCGTATTAGAGAAGTGCGAGAGTGATATCCAATACCGCCCCATAACATAATACCCGGTGCAGGACCAATGTGGCAGTGCATAACGCAGCTGTTCAGCATTCTCTCTCCACGGTGTCTCCAGACTCGAATCCGACCATCGTGGCGTTGCAGACAGAAGCGGGACTCGTCAGTAAAGACAATTTCATTCCATTCTACCGTCCACATCCTTCTTTCATCGCAACATTGGCGGCGGAGACGTCTGTGGTTCTGTGTCAAGGGTAGACGAAGCAATGGACGTCATGCAGACAGACCACTCTGATGTAAACGGCGTCGAATGGTACGTGCAGACACTGGATGATGCGTTGCAGACTAAATGTGCTGGGCTATGGTTCGTGATGTGACTGGGCGATACGTCACTGCCATGTGCGCAATGTTCCTGTCATCACGTGAAGTGGTGCACTGAGGTGGATGCGATCGAACACGTCGGTCCGTCGTACCCTCCTGCATCCAACGGTCACATATCCGCATTACAGTTGTTTGGATTCGTCCAACACGACTACCGATTTCCCTGAAAGATAATCCACACTCTCGGTAGGCCACTATCCTTCCTCTGTCGAACTCGGATACTTCATCAAACGATGATCGCTGTTTACTACGAGGCACAATTGATCGTTTCTTGTTTTTGAAAAAACTACAAGAAAAACACAATTGCCGAACTTGAAATTGTCGAAATCTCCAAGCCTTAAATAGCGCTTTGAAGTGGCGCCTCAGGTGCGCGTGATGTGCGTCTGCGCTGAAATTCTAATCATTTGCATATATCACCTCCGATAATGCATGTTGTAAATTTCATGTTATTTGCATGCTTCCTTCAAGATGTTGCATTTACGGTGGCCAGCAGTGTATTAAGAAAATTTGAATTGGGTAACAAATAATAATTATTTTCAAGTTAGGGTCCTTTATATTTATAATATTTTAAGATTAAATTTTTCTGAGTTATTTTAGTCTTCTTACTTTTATAGTTTAATTATGATATTTATAAAATAAATTTCTTCTGAACTGGATTAATATGTTTATATTAATATTTTATAAAAACTGTATTTCTATAAACTCAAAAATTTGCCATCAGTTAAAAAGCAGTGCTTCCTTTAAACTGACTGTAATTATGTTAAAAGTTGTTCAGAGTAAGTAATCACAAAAAATAAATTACTAGTTCGAAAAACTGGAAAGCATAATTTAAACTGACAAATAAATAATTATATATTTTTATTTTTTTAATTTTTTAAAACGGACATTTATCACGCATAATGCGGTAATAGCATTTCTGTATTCACTTCATTTCATTTGACGAGACCTGACTTTTCTCTTCCAGATCCGTCATTACTGGATCCGTCTGCAGAACCTGTATACGAAAAAGTCTATTTTGTGCTACCAATCGTATTATCTGCCATTGCTATTATCATCATGCCCATCGTTGCCTGCTACTGCCACAGTAAACTCAATCCGAGGCCAATTCAAACAGGTTCGTTTTCAAATTCATTTTTCTTAAATATAGCTCAAGAATGACAATCCATATAAGGTATAGCTTCATGTATAATGACAAAAGTAAAGCTATTATTCATTTAATGTATAATGTTTCAAAACGTTTGCACGACTAATATCCCATAAATTTTGGTCATAGACTCATTATTCCAAGTTAAGAAATGATTCAAATAACGTAAGACTTCAGATTATGGTAAATACATGAAACTTAAATTTTTATATAAACCTACAGAAAAATATTTGAAAGAAATAAGTATTTTTCATAACGATAGTAGTTAGATGTAAAATATTTAATTCACTTGCAATCAAAATTACTCGAGTTATAACATACATAAAATTGCAGGGAGGATAAAGAGATATGCTAAAAATAAAGAAGATAAAAGATATCCTAAAAATAGATATATATGTAAAAATAACATTTCACATCAGCTAAGCATTTAAACAGAAGGACAGACTTAGAGATCCTATTCCTTGTGAAATTCCATTTATGTACCACCCCTAGAACTGGCATTTTGCCCTCGCGTAAAAGTGGTTAAATTAAAAAGTTCTGGCACTTTTTTTTTTTTTTTTTTTTTTTTCAAAATTAGTTTTGCATGTTATGGACCCTGCCTCTCCCCCAGCCCAAAAACAATACTTTTAGAAAAATGAAGAGCAACTTACTATAGGATTTTTCTTTGCAGGGGGCACATATGAAATTTTAAGTTTCATATATTTTACACTAGAATGTGTCATGTAATAAAAATTACTGTAGTTCAGATTTACCATCAGCAGTGCAAGCGATATTTAGTCCTGCGTTCGTTTCAAATGCTTGTATTACTTTAAATAATATATATATTATTTAATATGTTATTTAATGGGGGTTAGTTATAGTTGCATGTTTATTGAATTTTGTTCTTTTTTATTGAAATTAAAATCTTTTCAAAAGGGTGCCATAAGATTGGCTGAAACGAAACAATTCCGAAAAAAAAAAAAAAAAAAAAAAAAACTCTTTGTGATACTATAAAATATTTCATTCTTTTATTCTATTAAATAAATAAAAACTAAAAAGAATGTAAAAGGTAAAATAAAAGGTAAAAGAACTCATTTCAAAGGTTACCGTTAAAATGAGTTCTTTAACTTTGCTGGAGCTCTTACATCAGTAGATCACATTCAATTTGATCCTTAATTAAATGTATACTGAATCGTAATAGCAGTGTGTTTTTTATAAGTAGGTAAATCCCAGATTCAGACCGCAGTCACAGAATTCATGTCTTTTCAAAACACTTATTTTAATACTTATTCTTGCTATCTAAATCAATTACAATGAAATTTTATTTCACCGTTTGCTCATCATAGTGTGCATATTGAGCAATGATATACACTGGTGTGCAAAAATTAAGGACGAGACGGTTTTTCAATATAACTTTGTACAAAAGCTTTCCAAATCAACACATTTAATACCGTAAGATCCCCAATACGTAAGGACATGAGTAATGTAAGCAACACTTACTAAAAGAGAAATCAGAGGGATAAAAAGAAGCTTTATTGAAAAAGTAGCATGGAGCGCAATGCGACTGAAGGCCGAAACATCCCTGTGATGGGTGTCCAGCAAGAAACATCCGGTCTTTAATAGGGGATATGATCTCCCCTGACTGCTAGGCAGGTTTCACAGCGTCTGCCCATGCTGAGAATGAGGGTGTCAATGAGTTGTTGAGGCATTGCTGCCCATTCGTCTTGCAGCGCCAATCGAAGCTCCGGAATCGTTACTGGTGGTAAGGTACGAGCTGCCAAGCGTCTGCCTAGAAAATCCCATACATGCTCGATGGGATTGAGATCCGGAGATCGTGCCGGCCAATCCATACGTTCAATATCCTCACTCTCTAAGAGCTGTTCGGCAGCTACTGTGCGATGACATGGTGCATTGTCGTCCATGAAAAGGAACTGCGGACCCATAGCGCCTCTAAAAAGACGCACATATGGAAGAAGAATCTCGTTACAATAACGGGTCCCGTTGACTGAACCTGCGTCGAAGATGTGAAGGTCTGTACGACTACCAAGCATGATGCCTCCCCAAACGAGAACACCGCCACCTCCATACCTGTCCCTTTCAATGATGTTCGAGGGATGATTGCGGCTTCCCCGCTCTCTCCAGATGAGTATGCGATGAGAATCGCTACTCAGACTGAATCTGCTCTCATCTGTAAAGAGTACTCGTCCCCATTCATTGTCTCTCCAATTCCGGTGTTCCCGGCACCACAGAGAACGCCTTCTCCGATGGGCAGGCGTTAGAGGTACACACCGTACAGGGCGTCGTGCAAACAGACCACCACCGTGCAGTCTTCTGGCCACGGTAAAACGCGATATCGGTCGTCCAGTCGCCTGTGTCGTGTGTCTAGCGATTTCTCCCGCTGTCTGCCGCCTGTTTCTTCTGGCCTGTAAGGCAATATACCGGTCATCTGCGGGTGTGGTTCCTCGTGGACGACCACTACTAAACCCCCGGATAGCTGTTCCTGTAGTTTGAAATTGTCTCCAAAGTCGTGAAACGATGCTGTGAGCAATTCCGAACTCTGCAGCCACACTTGTCACACTGCGGCCTTCCTCCAACTTCCCAATGATTCGACCTCGGGTAAAAGCATCCAGATGTCGTCTAACAGATTGATTATTCGCCATTTCTCGCTGAGGCAGCAACTCGGTGTGATTTTAACTGCTATACGGCGTGCAATCTCTTTGCCAGAAATACTGATCTTACACCGACAACATGCTTTATACTACTCAGACACTCCCCCATTACGTCTACCTGCATATCTGCGCATGTGCTACCGTACATCACCTTACTTAAATTCCTGATTGGTCTTTCTGTCCGCTCTGCCTCTTCGTTCAGCTGATATGCTAATTTTTCGACTTCGTCCTTAATTTTGGCACACCAGTGTATATCAGTCAGCTAAGACATCATTATTGCTGATATCTAAAATGTGCTTTATTTGATCAATTACATCTAACCTACTACGATTAACAGAAATTTACTTATTGATGTCATTTAATTATTTATAATCATATTTCTCAAAAACCTCCCTCATTATTTTTCATTATTTACTTTTATTCTAGTTTACAAAAATAAAATACTTTTTATTACTTTTTCCGTTTATGTAAAAGACTTCGGTCGACTACTCTTACTCCACATCATTAATTACGCCAAATATGCATTTAAGTTCCTAAGACTTGCTTGTTAATGTTAATGCTAACTAAATTAAAAAAAGGTATATAGGCATAATGATGAGAACATATTAAATATTGGCAAAACTTAAGAATCGTGGGAAAATACCATAAATGTGCATAATGTATTTGGGAAAGACTGATAAGATGCCAGCTGTCTGTTCATTCGAATATTATCATCTATTTATCACAACCGAAATACAAGTTGAAGTGAAAGAAAAACTGAAGTGATATACAGCTAGCTAATGTCGAAATATTCGTTTCCGTGTGATTAAAATGTTTGTTGAAAAGTACACAATTTTCTTTCTGCGATTCAATCATACAAACACTTTAAATTCTGTAGTATTTTTATTGCTTATTTTGACTAATGAAATATTACTCACGTCTCATTTTGCGGTTTCATATACAAATATTAGATAAATAAATAGAAGAACCCATAATACGTACAAATAGTAAACAGGTATCGTCTTTCTATACTATTTCTCTAGGATAAAACACTTAACTGAAGGGTTACGTTCCATTGTAGCATTCTATTGCATTTTTGCTATTCATTTTGTTAATATAGTTTCGAATTTAAATCTGGAAATGAGAAATTGCTCTTTGAAAACTGGAATTTGATTGATAATGTGTGGTGAGTGCTCTACATTTGATATGCCTTTTATCTTGTGCAATTTTTTTCATCACACCATTATCTGCAATAATGATAACAGAAAAGTTGGGTAGATATTCCTATGTAACTATAAATAAACGGCACAAGTGAAACAGAAATATATTTATTGAAAAACTGTCGTACTCACTTGTGTCATGTTTAATTTTTTAGAAAGGAAAGAAAAAAAAGGTGTGGCTCCGTATGATCTCCGCACTAGCACTTGTAAAGGAAAAATTATCACATATTGCTATTGCGTGAGTGGGCACGAAAAAAAGGTGGATAAACTGCCATTTTGCTGCAGACTAGATAAAATCTACGGGCATTAATCCACGGTCAGCAGGGAAATACATGCCAGGACATCATTCGGGAATTTTTTAAAGTAAAGAGAAAAATTAAATGCGATGGATGGAACTGAATATAATATACTCGGAGGAATGTTCCCGATAACACAAGAGCACAACAGACAGTAAAATCAACAATCCATCAAAAAATGACTGATCGAGAAACAAGAAATGCTGTTGTATGTATGGTAAACTATGTATGTGTATGGGTTCCTTTTTTACAACGGAAAAGACATGAGCTCTGGATAATGCATTTAAAAACTATTATATAGCTATTTAATCATACAAACACTTTAAATTCTGCAGTCTTTTTTACTTACTTTGACTCATGTGCTTAATCCCTATTTTGAAGATTATAAATTCAAAACGAAACGGAATTTCTCAGTTTGTTATTTTTGTCATTTAACAACTAATATTTTAGTTTTTTGCTTTTTAGGCAAGTTTTTGTTTTTCAAGAATAGTAACAAGCTTTCTACGAAGAAAATACAAATATTCGGACTTCGAAATTGAACGATACTTACAGTATCTTCACATGTAAATTTACGTTTAGATATTTTTGGATTAAATCAGCGACACTGCACAAGCATATACGTTACATCGAAATACGTGATAAATCACCCACAGTAATAAGATAATTCATTCTTGGACTGCTATATACAGACGTAATAGTATTTAAATACGTGAGATGTCTCGTATTATAATTCGTGTATAGATTACGATGTACGGGTATGTGATGCTTGAAAAGTATGAATAACTGTGTTTTTGGTTTTAGACCTTATATGAATATAAGTGTTAAATTACAAACATTGAATTATATTACTGTTTTAATTACATGCCTTAACCAGCAGTATTTTGACTTACTTATTATTATTATATAATACCTTATGTTATATCTAACTCAGTTAACGAAATATGATTACAAAATAAGAAACATAATTATACTTTGTTTTATCAAGCTTAAAATATTCTGACATCTTACTAAATTACGCTGTTCGTAAAAGTAATTTGTATTGCTTCTAAATGAAGCTATTTTCTAATTAAATACATTTAAAGGCAATTTAAAAAGTATAATATTTCAAGAAAAAGTATTCCATTGCTCTCTATATCCTTAAAATTACTTGAATTAGTTTCCTGTTTTCTTCAGTTTCTTCATCGCTGTACGGATACAAATAAAGCAAAAATAACTTGAAAAATGGAATTAACATAGGAACTGTAAATGGTAGCACTATTTCCTTCAGGGAATCTCCCAAATGAAGACTACAGACCCCCAGCCTCCCTGACAACTATCTGCGACACGCTTGCACAATTCATTAAACAAAAGGCAAGCTCAAAAACAGCGTAGACCATTGAATGCCGTTGAATGCATTTGTGTATCCCAAAGATCTTTTCAAATGTATTCAATAGTACTTCTGCACTGCCTTTATTTTCACGTCAGTGAATGTAGAGCCCACCGCTGCCCTTTAGAAAAGTGCTTCACTGGCCCATCAGTATGAATGAGCGTAGGGTACTTTAAGAAAGGACTGGTTGTGTTTTCTGATAGAAGGAAATTTAAATAGGCAGACCCAAGGAGGTTAGAATAGCTCCTTGGGCAGACCCTCCTATAAACTTGTCTTTGGGGTAGCGAATTTAAACAAATAAAAGTTACGCTTTTTAACTTGAATCGGAAAACGTTACTTACATTTTTTTACGCTTAGCCTTTATTTTCATACTTGGCCAAAATTTATACGGATTGAATGAATATAGTTTTGCCAAAAAATAGTATTTCCGGACTTGAAACTTCTTAATATGATAAAAAAAAAATGGCCCTAGAAAGGTTTTTAGATGCTTTGGTAATCAGCGCAATATCTTCTTTAAATGGAATTGTTATGTGCATAGATACCATTATGGGCATGGAACTGCTATGGGCATAATTATTGCAGGATTTGAGAAAAAGAAAAAATGAAAAGTCAAATATGATCATGCAAGAAAAGTAAAAAAAAACTGCTTGTGCATAGATACTATTATGGGAATGGAACTGTAACGGGCATATATTATTGAAGGATATCAGAAAAAGACTTAAACCAAATATGATAATGCAATAAAAATAAAAAAATTGCGTAAAAGGAAGTTACCATATACCATAATGATAAGAATATAATTTTCTAAGTCATTTAGATGTTCTTCCCTTGTAAGACGAATTAATTGACAGGGAATTGAATGCTATTCTTGGATCACTTCAAAACTTAAAAATGTCCCAAGAACTAAAATCTAAACGCAAATAAAATTGTGATAAATAAAAAATAATTAAATTAAATCATCAATGCAAAGCTCATTCGTTAACAGTTAACAGTGATGCGTATGCAATAATGTGGAATATTTTTAAAGAGTTTTATTTATGTATTGTTAAATTGTACAAGTGGATTTCTGTTTACTTGCCTTCTGAAAGCGTTGTATTGTAAGGAAATTTTCTGTCTTAACACGTATAAAAATATTTTTTTTTATATTAATTTTCACAAGTTAGCTTCTATAGAACTGTACTCTAGTAGATTAATCTTAACAGAAAATGGAAAGCTATCTGAGACAGAAGTATAATAGCTGGTATTTTCAAGCGCTCGGAGATAACTGAAGTTTTCAAGCCGTTTCCTGTTTGCCAAAAGGTCATGGAGGTAAGAAAGGTCTTACTTCCTACCTCCATGTAAAATTGTGATGGGGAAGGGAAAGAAAATGCCCCTTGGATGCTATGCCAGGGGACAGATATCGTCTCTTGCCCTCCTCTATTTACGCCACTGACCTAAGGATATCTTTACAGATGCAAGAAAAAAACTAAGTTTTACTGTTTGCTTAGAAAAGAAAATCTTTATTACACTTAAAAGGCAAGGAAATTTACAGAAGTCTCTGAATTGAAAAGGCTGCTAAGAGCATATCACGAAACTTAAATAAAAAAATAGCCAGAAAAATTAACTTAAATTCTGTTTAATATCAGCCTATATTATGTATTCTAGGTATAAAACTATTCCCTTGAAGGGTAACATTAAATATATTGCTCATTAAATTTGATTTAATAAACTCGAAATATTTTGAAGGTGTGTAATGAACTTCAAATTTACTATTATGATCTGTACATATTTTGATTTGTAAATCGAATTTTTTCCTTTCTCGGATGCGTCACAATAGGTTTCCTCTGTATTATTTTAAATATAAGGTTTGCCTGCATATTAATTATTATTTCTGCATTATTCATTTATTATTATTTTGTATTTTTTTAATTCTGTATTATTTCTTTTCGTATATTGAAGGCTGATTTTCCAATATATAGCAATAGTAATAGTAATAATAACTCCCAAAATTTTTTTTATTTCGATTTAAATACTTATAAAATTTATTCAGTTAAAAAATATAAAATATAATTTCGTGAAATATTTGAATTAATGACCAGTAGTTAATTTAACGATGCAAAAATTAATATATTATTAGTAGCATTTTTAATCGTTGTGAGCTTTTGTATATAAAACTATATTGAGCTAAAAGTTATTATTATTATTATTTACAATATTATGAAAAATTATAAAAATCCGAAGGATTGAGAGTTCTAATACAATTCCAAATGATTATATTAATTTGAATTAAAGCAAATGCTTCTGTTTTCAAAAACATAAGAATTAGGAAGTTGCTTTCAAATTCATTATGCTGCATTTATTAATTCTCAATGACTGAGTTACTTGGACTTCATTAACTTAAAGGAATTAATCGAAATTTGAGAATTTTTTTTTTTTTTTTTTTTTTTTTTTTTTTTTTTAAGTATACTAAATCTTTATCGATGTTATCTTGCCTGGCTTCAATTCTCTAATATTTTTTACTAAACATACAATCCTAAAATATCACTAGAAAATATTTGCTGTTTCAATTTCAGAATTCTCATGAGTCATTTTCATTAATGCCTTTGTGGTGCAAATCAACTAGAAATATAGCGTGGTTGTTAACTCTTTAAGAAGTTGAAGTTTAAGGCTATGAAACAATTTTAAGAACCTTTACATAAACCTAAACTTTTAGTGAATTTTATAGAAAGAGTGTACAAAATTTTTAAATAAGCTTAATCTCTTAAAATGGTTAAATGTGATTTTTAGTAATAAAACACATTCAACATTAGCGCAGAGTAGCTATTGTTTTATGTTCACAGAAAGTGAGAAATCCATTCTCAAGAGATTACTTATTTAAGCTTAAGCTGTCCCCCGTCTCTCTTCTTCAAGATTTTCATCTAAACGTGAAATGTTATTATGAATAAATTTCTTCATCCTTACATTAAACTGCAGAATTTCAAAGAGAATTCCATTCGGTTCCGTGATTAAACCATCTAATGCATCATCAGTTTAAAGACGAGCCATCCTTTTATTCACTTACAAACATTAATTAGAATTCTTAAAGATTAACTTTTGATACTTTTATTTTCAAATAGGTGTATCTTAATGGTTTTACTTTTTTAGAACTGATTGAGGATAGAGATTTCTTGTACGCTGCAGCTACGCTTCAGCGTCTAAGCACTCTTCGTAGAGCCTCCGCTACTATGTCCAGACCTGTACCTGCGCGAACCTCTTCGCTTCCCAGACCAGCAAGATCTTCCAGAGCAACTACCACAACACTACCGAAACCTGAACCTCAACCCGTTCCAGAGCCGGAACCATCTCCGGCCTTACCTACTTCCTATTCAACACTCCAAAACTATGGGACAGCTATTGCTGAAAATGAGCCTTCTACGCCTCCTGTCAATAAGGCAACTATCAGTGTGCCTGATGACAACAGATACGATTCAGTGGTGGAAGAAATGAGAACATTCATTAAAGACAAAGGCTCTACTAAGTATGTAGAATTTCTAACTCTTTTATACAGTTATTGCAAAATGAATCTTTTCTCATTTAGCAACACATTAAAAAATTCGATAATTTTTTAACATAAAATAGGTTGAATGTTAAAAATTTTAATTAGTTACGAAATTCCAACTAGTTACCTTTGCCATACAGTAGAACTCCAGCTACCCGAATCAACTGGGACCGGAGTCGATTCGGATAATCAAAAATTCGGATAATTGGATGTTTTCCAAAGAAAGGGTCTACGTACACTTTAATTAATTACTGTATGTACTTTATGTTGAAAATGGGAGAGAAAAACTATTTAAAAAAAGATTTTTAATTAATTAAAATGAAAAAGAAACACTTTACCTGCATGTTATATAGCGTACTCTACAGTACTTACAAGTGCTGAAAGTCATTGCTTACTGAACATCTCGGTCAAACTAAGTTGTTCGACAGACACCGTTCCTGCACTAACCAGCTGTTACTTGCTTTAAAGGGTAAACAACCAAGCTTCTGAGCTAAAATTTTAAAGCTTTTTGACAAAGAATCGGACCCGAGATTGGGTTTCCCATCGAACATTGCTCCAAAACTCACTTAAAAACGACATCTTCTAAATTTTTGTTTGTGCTGCCTTCATTGATTTTCTTAAAGAACTTCCATCTTCGTTTTCAAGCAGTGACACAAAGTTTAAAAGTATAGGTTTGCTCCTTTTATAATATGAAATCGTTGATTGTCCAACACTACGTTTACCTCTTAATTTTTTTCTTAAATTCTGCAAGCGATTCGGATAGTCGGAGTTCGGATAATTGGAGTTGTGCTGTATTTTTATTACTGTCATAAAACCGTAGTTGGAGAGGACCGAATAGATTTATACAGGTTTCAGAAGCATGTAAGATATCAGAGCACACTGATATTCTCTCCCCAGTTTCCTTCCACATAGATGTTTTGCAAAAGATTAGATGACTGTATTTTCTATTAGACTGTGCTTTAATTTTAAAACGAATAGTTTTTTTAACAACGGTACACAAAATAGCTTATGGTTGCCTTTCTATTTATCCTTCAACGTACCAGATTACTTTTCTCATCCTAAAATGTACTTGTAGCTCTTGATCAATTAATCTAAGAATTTGTTAAACATTTTCAATAAATTTTCTGTTTTGTTTATCGAATATAGTAAATACTTTATTTTGTTACTAAAACTGGGTAAACTGTTGCATAATAAGAGCAGAATTTTATAGCTTTATTATTATAAAACACAATCAATGGTATTTGTTATCAGTTTCAATGACAGTTGTGAGCGGGCACGAATTTTTTATATTTATATATTGTAGGGTTTATATTTATTTTAACTAACATTTATTTTAAGTTTAAACTATCTTTCCTGTCAAGCCTTACTTTCCCCTGGAATTGCCAATGCCAGAGTATGTAAATTTTAGTAGAACGCGCAAAGTATTCAAATTGTCAGCGGAAGTATTTTGAGTTTTAAATAGAAGGGAAACGAGTTCGATAGTGTGCTTTCTTGCTTCACGAGTGTGGAGGTTGCTAGGTAGAAAGTTTAGAACCGCGCGTTTCAGCCTGCGTGCTTGCCTCGGCAGATAGTTGAATCTTTCAACTTAATATTCAGAAGTTTGCTGAAATATCAGCGGTATCTTAGAACGCGGTTAGGTTAGTTACGTTTAGAGAGCCTCGTAGGTAGTAACTTGTTATTATTCATTTTTAGTTTCTTATTTTTATTTTACCGCCGGGTCGGCGTAGTTTGTGAGCGTCAAGAGCACGCATCTGTAATTTCTAAAGTTGAATAAAAAGGGATTTAAACCCTTCTCAAGACTTTGTGTACTTTCCAGTTCATAGCAGTCACCACTATTGTTGCGTGCAGGTTGGGGGGCCATGCAACATTACAATATAAATATACGAATAGTTACAAATTAAAAGAAAAAACTTTTAAAATTGCAATCTTCTAAATTGCCTTCTGAAATCTGAATGAATTCTTCTAAATTGCAACGTTTATCTTTCAATATTTGTGAAAGATTGAGAACAATATTTTGCTATAAGAAACTATTATTTGAAATGAAAACTTGAAAGAATCTATAAATGCTCTTACACATACGTTTTTTAAAATATTAAAAATTATCTCGCTTTAAATTTCATGAAAAACAATAGCTTATCATGCTTCATAAACTTACCGTCGTATAATAAAATTAACGATAACTCAAAGAATTTTTGTGTAACAAGGCTCAAATGCTTATGTGTACTTACTGAATGTTTAAAAACGTTAACTTTAGCTAATAGCAAATGATGATAAAGTTAAAAACTATTGTGTTCTTCAAAATGTTTCCAGCTAAATGTGCTAAGAAATTTTAAGGAAATGTCTGAATGCTGAAAACTGTTTGAAAATTACCAAATTAAACATAACGTAGATTTTGCTTTGTGCATATTGTTCTAAGTTAAGTTATTTAATGGAAGTTAGTTTTTTTCTACATATCAGGAAATTCAAGCTATAGAAATCTTAAATATGTGTATTTATAAATCCTGAAGAATATTTAATGTCATGAAATAAGGTTATAGCGTTAAATATCTCTTTTTAAAGATAGCAATCGTATTTATTTACGAATTACAACAATGTTTAACGCTATATTTTCCTTCCCTGCCATTGCTTTCACTATGCATAAAACAGATTGCAATGCCTCAGCAATAGATTCATAATTAATACGTTATTTAATAAAGTAAAATAAAATAAAATGCAACTTTACAAAAATGAGGAACATTGTGGATGGGTGAAGTCATCTTCCTTCAGACTGTTTTACAGTTTGCGAGAAGGTTTACGTAAGTAGTAATGCAAAAATTGAAAGTTCGTAAGTGAAATAAAAGATGCAATTCACCGTGACGTTTTGCTATCTTGGGCAAAAATTACATGCAAGGTAACGATTTATAAAGAACTCCTGAGTATAGATTCAATAGGAAACAATCTAAAATCTAAAGAAGAGGTAGATAAACTATATTTTTAAAACACTGCTCAATAAAAATGATAATACGAAATTTTAATAACACCTTTCAATTAAAGGTATTTCATTTAATTTTAGAGCAGCATTTTTCAACTTTAATAAATTTATTAAAATCACAAAGAACAATATAGAATAAATTTTTGGTTTCACGTTGTTTTCATTTGCAATAATAAAAATTTATGCACGAAATAACTAATTTAGAATCGCCTGCTTAATCATACGCTTTTAAGAAATCTTAGAGTTAAATGTGAAGAAGAGTTTGTCATCTCTTGGAATGCAAGAACACACAACTCTATAAGTGAAGTCTAAAGATGCGCTTCAGATTCTTAAACTACGAATTGAAATAAAACTTGCAATTGCACCCGTTTGAATTTGACTGACCTCTTTTTGTTCAAATTCCATATTGTGATTCAGGCGCCAATGATTAGGAAATTTAAAATTATATCACAGGAATCCTTTTCAGATAACACATGCATCCTTTATTCTCTGTGCTGGTGTAGGTCTGTTCTTCAAAGAATCGATGCCCTTATGAATGTACTATGTTCCTTTCCTAATTACTTAATTAATTCTAATCATCGCCGCTTCAGAGTTTAGTTTTCAACTTGAAAATGACATGAATTTGCTTCACGTATTTTCAGATTCAAACTAAGTAATCTACGCTTTAACTACTTTATTTCTTCAGAATTAAGTATAACAATTTTAATTCTTTTTTCAGGCCAAAGAAACTTGAAGCAGAAGCTGTTGTTGAAGACGATTCTTCGGATGATTCCTGACATCAGATTACATTGGATATTTAATTGCGGATATCCAATGTAAGTGAATAGAAAAGATTCGTTACCAAGAACGAGTTATGGAAAAAATAACTATGCATTATTCTAATTACAGTACGGTTAATCAACTTCTTGTGAATCGGTTTTTTTATCGTAAAAAGCCAAACTAGAACGCTGAATTCGAACAGGGAATTCTAACCATTGAAATTATATGTGCTATGTGTGCTGTGCCTCCATCTCCAGGTCCTACTTATATAATGGAAAATATTAACGAATTTTATGCCCGTTTAATATTTATCCTGATTATTGTGCTCTCGAATGCAATGAATTAAAAATTTCTATACGAAAAGCTTCAGCATGCTTCTGTGACGTATTAAAGTATTTAACTGTAATGTATCTGTGACGGTGCTGATTCATCTCTTACGAATTACATGTGCGCTGTTTAAAATAAAGTTTTGTAGGGAAAATAAGATAATACATTGAATAGCATTGAAATAATCAAACTGAAATTGAGGAGACTACATGCCTCAAGTGTGAATGTCAAGTATGAAGACTATTTATATATTTAAAAAGTTTTTTTCTTGGTTATCATAAACTGTTGCAAAACTTTTATAGAGCATTTATTTACAGTGCTTTTACGTAAATGTTATCATCAAATGCATTTGCATTGTATAGATATAAAATATCTTAACCCATAAATAAAAACCTGAAGTTTCGTAATTAATAATGACTCCTTAATAAAAGCCTGAAGTTTCGTAATTTAATTGGACTCGAATTTAGTGTATTAAAGCGATCAATAATTAAATGCTTGTTATCTCATCTGAATTTTCCACCAGTACGAGTGTTCCTAGTAACAAACAATTTCCAACCATTAAAATTTTCAAAGTTTTTAGTCCAAAGGGATTTGAATCCCGAAGAACTATTAGTTTCGTTTTGGCATTTTGCGTCGGACGGATAAATGTCGGTTCACTTTTCAAACTGTTGCCATAAAATGTTAGAGTTCTGCATTATATTTGAAGAAATTAATAATGAAAAATCTGCGTAAATGTATGTATATTTCTCACATTGTCATAAAATAACGGTACATAGAGTCATCGAATTTTGAATAACGTAATCCTCCAACGAATATGAGCATGTGGAAGACCAAATTTGAAATTTGAAATTTGTTTTATGATCGATTTCCTATTTTTTAAAACTTTGACGAATTTTTGATTAACAAACTCAAGGATTTCAAAGCGAGCAATGGCAACGTTGTGGCAGAAAAAAACATTTTTGTCTCCAGCGCGTGAGTCTCTGTATCGGAAATTCTAAAGATATGCTCGTTTTAAAACTATTTTGCGATATTGCTGTTGCACTGGATCTTATGGTTTAAGTGCGAGGAACATGATATTTAATAAAGAAAGGTAACACACAAAATGTTAAAAAACGCCCCTTTGGACGTAATTTAAAATCTGAAACATTTCAGATTTTTTTTTTTTTTTTTTTTTTCGGTTCGTAAAACTATAGTTCTTTTAAAGTAAAAGACATCCTGTTTTTATTTATTTATTATTTAAAGCAATAGAAATTATATCTCAATTTTTAAAAATGATAAGAAACTTGTTTTTACGAAGATTTATGCAGTTTAATGAGTTCAGTTTACTTTAAGGTCATCAAAATTTACAAACATGTAAAATTTCGTATATAATATTGTAAGTTAAACATACCTCAAATTAGAAACGAGAGTTAGCTAAGTCTCTGCAATCAATCAACTTTAGAATGATTAAGTTTTGTAAATCCATATGCAGTTTGTTAAAGTGAAGATTAAAGTTTTTGAAATCCTCGATTTATCCGTCATAAATCAAAAGTACGCCCTTTGTTGTTAACATAGAATAATTTAATTAAAATATCTATTAATGTTAGTACCAAACGAATTTTTTAATAATTCAAAATTATAGTCAGTAATATTAAAATATATGTACATGTGTTTTAAAAAGCTTGCAGAAGTAAATAACCTTTAAAATCCGCTTGTAGATTTCGTGAATGAAATAAGGCAGACTTTCAGATTGGGACACTTCTGATTACTTGGCATATTTTAATAAATATGCATGGAACTTAAATTATATCCTATCCGTAGCGGAAAATCTGTCAATCAGATCAAAGCTTTTCATTGCCGAATATCCTAAAAAAAAGAATTTCATCACTTAACTGTTTTAAGGTATCGTATGATGAAGCTTTTATTTATATTAAAATAGTGTTAAAGCAGCTGTTCCAAGTTCATTTTTCACCTTCTGCTCCAAAAACTAATGTATGTAGAATTTAATTAGTCTCCAGAGTTTTGTCCGTATAAGAACATGTTTAAAAACTAAATAAATAAAATGTTTGTTAAAAATATAAGGTAGCCCTTACTAATTATAGTATTTCTTGTGGAGAGGCCTTTAAAAATGTGGTTGTTGCTTATTTTTTAAATCGCAGAAATGTTCTGGAACACTCTATGCAACCATTTGAACAACTTAATAATGATACAACTTTTGATTCTGGTATATCATTTGTTGCAGGAATCTTTCTATAATTTATTTTGAAACTTGCTGAAATTTAATACTTTTAACTTGTTATATTTAGAGCAATGTTTGGAATGATATTTTTATCTCAGATTATTTTTTGAAAAAATTAATCATTTTTAAATCCCAGCTGAATTAAGAATTACTTACGTAATTTGAATAATTCTTAATTCAACTCTCGATTATGAATCGTTTGTATTTTTATTTATTATCGATTGTGTTAAATAACACAGCTTTTTTTTTAATCTTGAGCAAATAAATATATAAATGTAATAAAAATTTGTGGAAAAATTTTATTTTGTTTATTAAATTGAATAACTGATCTAGAAAAGTATATATTTCGTTAAAACACAAACAAAATTACTTGTGTTTGTTAGCTCTAATATTTTCAGAGTAAAGTTATATGTATTTCTAAACTGTAATAGCTGTTCAAATGTATATTTCCTCATTACGTAACGCGAAATATAAATAGATAAAATGAGTTTATCTTGCAATAAATCTGAAAGATTAATTCATTTTATGCAGTTTATTTCTTTATGGTATGTATTACATACAAAATACTGTAATACGCGCAGCGTTATAAATATATAAAATGAGTTTATCTCACAATCATGTCTTCGTTCATCTGTATATACTTCTTTAGTTAGATTTTCTACTGATCACTTTTTTAAAAGAATCATATCAAATATTTTATACTTTTGAATATTAGATCTACATCGAGAATATTGTGAAAATTGTTTATTGTTCTGCTGCTCTTATTTTAATAGTTTATTATAATAACATTTTATAGTTAGATGAATATTACTTTAACAGCCTTTCAGTGTGAAATAATATGGCAATAAGTAGCTAATTTGAAAGTAATTTTTTTATAATACATATTTTATTGCAGCCTTCTAATGAGTACACTTAATCATTACAAATAATTAAAAAAGATGATATTTTTAAGTTAAATAATCAATCCCTGTATTATTTTGCTGCAAATTTTGATGTTTATCCACATTACCAAGGACATGATGGTATTTACCGATTATGTGCCATGATTCAAAATGCAATATATTATACATATGATAGATATCTCAATACAGTAGAGGTCCGCAAACCCGATCTATTGCAGATTGCGAGTGTGACGAGTCACCGAAAATGTCGAGTTTTGCAGAATAAGGGGTGGGTTATTCCCAACTCATAATATTTTACTTCGTATCAGTTTAATGGAAGTTCTAGCACAATACAAGATACAGAAAGGCACAATATACCCTAACCTAACTGTTAAAAGTTTAAAAAAAATTACATACAAAACTAAAGAAATGACTGGGTAGTTCTTTGCAGCAAAAAGTCTCGGGATGATTTACTCTCACACTTATTTCGGCTTCGTGCGGCTTTACGTTGGCGACAGAGAAACAAAATATCCAAAACAGAAGCACCTTGATTCTCTAAGTAAAGGAGTATTTCTTCAGTGACCTTTGATACCTAACTGTGTGTCATCATTTTAACAGTTCCGTTGTCATTCATCCCTTCGTCTTCTGATTCAGTTTCCTTTTTATCCTCGTTCACTTTCACTAATGCAACCTGCTTTCCACTATCTCCTAAGAGTTCATAATTTTTATCCTGCTTCATCCGTTCTTCAATATCACCATCATCAACATTTTTGTTGATGATTGAATTTCCTTTAATAATTCAGCTCTTTCGTACCTTTCTGTCTCTTCTCTGCTTTCTGGCAACTCGTTTCCTGAATAGTCCAGCAACTTTCTTTAGGAACGAATGAGGTTTTTAAGCTGGATTTCATTCCAAGATTCATATACATATCCAATACGTTCCAACATGTGTGTTTCCTTTATTTTATCGATCATTTACACATTTCCTCCATAGCTTAGGCAACAGATGAAAAAAGTTTAAGTTCGTATTTCTTCCTCAATACTTCTAAAATGCTCTGGTCCATTTGTTGGCATACCGAAGTCTACTTAAAAGGAAGAAATATGGCTGTTTATATCTCTGTCTCGCAACTCTTTCTCATCAGGATGGGATTAAGCATTGTCGAGAATGAAAACGCTTTCTTTGGCAGATATCTCGATATTAGAAACTTTTTTCCTGAATGAATGAACTGCTGCTATAACCATCTCATAAAAGTAACTCATTCTTTTATGCATTTCAGTGACTCCTGTACCTGACAGGCAGATCATAGATGGTGTCAGTCTCATCAGTGTACTGTTTTGTGTTTATAAACGCTCGGGGACTTTTCAGTTTGCTTATGGGCATTTAGTCAGCTTTTGCTGCCTATTTTATTGCTGCAAGTCTGCTTACTTCTTTCATAGCCTGGGCCGATTTTTCTTCTCTGTGTGTAAATGTTTTGAAGGCAGCACTTAAAAATTCAGACTAGGCTCTTCACCAGCTGTAAATTTGATCCCTAGATATACACTTATAGGAAGCTTCCTTAAATTTGTTAACATTTTCCAAGTCAGCAGATAGTTTTTTTTCCCACGAACATTTGGTTGCCTGACGCTATAGCTCTTCTTCCACCTGTTGAGCCAGCTAACACTTAGCAGTAAATCCAAGCTCTCCCCTTTGAAATCCCTCATAGAATTTGAGAGCTTTCTCTCGCAAAATGAGCCCTGAAATGGATATTTTCCCGTTTTACTTTAAGTGTTTAAACCACATCACTCATATTTTGGTATTAGCCAATTTTCTTCATTTTCCTTTCCTTTAAACTATCAGTACACACTTTTCCACTAGCCAGTATTAGATTTCGTGCCTCTTGTTTTTCCGCCCTATTATAGTAACTCGTTCAACGCCTAAATCTAAGACAATTTTATTAATCCTTTCCCTTTGTCCAATCGCTTGTGTATCTAATCAAAGACACCCAGTTTCATTTCCATTGTCATGCTAATCTCTCTTTTCTTCCTTTTCTTTCGTTTGACATTTCTCCTTGGACAGATTACGCAACACACGTTTTAAACCTAGACCTAAATTGTACCCAAAATAAGCTTAAAGTTTAGCTTACAATAAGGTGCAGCCATAAACTTCGAGCGAGCTTGCTATAAACTGGCAACAAAATGGAAATGCTTTGGTCCATTTGTTGGCATACCGAAGTCACCTTAAAAGGAAGAAATATGGCTGCTATATCTGCTTCTCGCAACTGTTTCCCATCAGGATGGGATTAAGCATTGTCGAGAATGAAAACTGCTTTCTTTGGCAGATATCTCGACTTTAGAAACTTTTTTTCTGAATGAATGAACTGCTGCTATAACCATCTCATAAAAGTAACTCATTCTTTTATGCATTTCAGTGACTCCTGTACCTGACAGGCAGATCATAGATGGTGTCAGTCTCATCAGTGTACTGTTTTGTGTTTATAAACGCTCGGGTAACTTTTCAGTTTGCTTATGGGCATTTAGTCAGCTTTTGCTGCCTATTTTATTGCTGCAAGTCTGCTTACTTCTTTCATAGCCTGGGCCTG